CAAAACAGTAGGAAGAAGAAACAGAAGGACAGTGACGAAAAGAACGGCGTTTTGTTGGTGAAAATACTAAACAGAAATGGTATGAACATGAATGTCATGGTGCTGAAGCCTCGTGAATCGCATAATACGGAGCTAGAGATGCTGCTGCTGATGATGATGATGATCGGCATGATCATAGTCATCACCATCATCATCGTCATCACGACTACCAGTATCATCATCGGGAATGGTGGTAGGACTAAGGAAGTGGCTCTGGCATGGCTCAGACTGAGCATGTGTTTGGGCGACCCCTTGAGGGTTACAAGCACACGGAGGTTGAAGCTTCCAGCATGTGTTCATTTAGGCTACCCAGCAAACGACCGTGGCGGTAGAGACCCCAAGAGCTGCATGTACTGTCAACACATTGAAGCGCGGCTTACGGTCTCCGCCGTTGCGGTCTTAGGATCGGAACGGCATCAAACGAACCCGTGCTGAATGAACCCATGTACTTACAAGGCGATGGATGTACCCTCTGAGGCTGATGTCAACAGTTCTGCGAACTGCAGCCAAAGCTCGTTGTTCAAGAACCGCTTCGTGGCATTCTGAGGCGAAAACGTGTAAACCATCAAGGGCAGCGCAAGTCATGTCAGCACATGCGCTGCTGCGACACGCTGTCATGTGTTGCCAAACTTGACGTTCCCCAGGCCTTGTTTTTGTTCTTCAGAGCAGACTTCATCATCTGCCGGTGGCCCATCGTCCTGGCCGTCAGGACCTATTCCCATGATGGTTTGGGGTCTAACATCTCACTTGCAGGGTCCCACAAGCCCCCGCGAACATCTACTGGCCCGACCAAGACACTGGGGCCCAAGCTTCTTGCGGACGTGAGCCAGGGTGTTGGTGCGCCTCAGCCAGGTGCGGCTGGGTTGCCCACATCTCCATGCCCGAGTTTTGCTGGGCGGATCTTTCACCTTTCACGCTCCGACCAGAAAAGGATCGCTGTGTCGAATGTCACCTCCTAAATCCTCAACTCAGCCCTACCCTCAACCCTCCCTAAAGCCCGGCTTTCAGGCCCCAGAGCCCCTCAAGCCCCTCAAGCCCATCAAGCCCTAAAGATTCGAAGGGCTGAAGCCCCTTAAACCCCCAAACCCTGAAGCTCGGTTTGGGGCAAGTCCATCAGCTCTTGCTCGCTCGGAGGCTCATGATCCTGACTGGGTACGCCAAACAGGCGTCAGGGTTTAGGGCATATTACCACTATAATCAATAAATACTACTGTAATACTCATGTAATACTACTATGACTATAACTATAACAGACTATAACTATGACTATAACTATAACCATAATTATAACTACAACTGCAATCATGAGCACGTCAAGCCGAAACTCGCCAAGTCGCAGAAGCTCTTGTGTAGGGCTTTAGGGCTCTACTGGGGGTTTAGGGCGTTGGGGCTCAAGGGTTTGCCTGCAGAAATTCAAGGTTGTTGGGTTTTGGGGTTCAGGCTCTACAACTGCTGCCTAAAGTGATGGGAACTATCAAAGCGAAATATGCTATGGTCGCTCCTTACAGCCTCCACCTCATGTCCCAAAGCAAGGTGAGTTAGTTCGGGGCTCGGGAAGCACGGAAGCCACCATCCCCCGGCCATGTCCGCGCCGGGTGCCTGTTCTCTGAAGAGCTCTGCGGCTTGCGTCAGCGACAGGCCCTGCAGCACAGGCGGCGTGATTCGTATGGGTATAGTTCTCTAAATTAGGATCCCTTTTCATTTTAGGGTCCGATTTACAAGGGTGCCGCACTAAATTGGGGGACCTCGAGCTGGCGCAGTGTGGGACACATGCAGCCTTCCGAAAGATTGTCTTGCAACTGTCGGAGTCCCCGAGATCTGAAGAAGAGCCCTCTTCCTCCTGTCTCCATGAGGTCGCCCAGAGAGACGTAGTGCACCCTAGGTCCCCCAAAAGTCCCCAAATAAGGGTCCCTAAACCCAGAGATACCAAGCTGGCACCTGGATGAGAGCCTTCCACAAGAGCTGAGTTCGCTCGTTCTCCTTGCGCAAAACCTCAAGGAGTGGGCTCCGAGCCGAAGCCGCAGTGCACCAGAACGGCGACACCGTCAAGGTAGGGCTTCGGGTTTCGGGGGCTTCAAAGGTTAGGGCTTTGAGGGCTTTGAGGGTTTGGGTAAGCTCCTTTTCGAATTCGTCATGGTCAATGAGTCGCAGCACTGCCCTGGTCACTCCCCGCCCTGCCAGAGTTGTGACTGAGAGTGATTACGCAGGACTACGGCTCGCTCCCAGCCCTCGGCTGGGTCAGGATCGAAGGATGATTCGACGAGCCTGGATCTCTTCTGTCCTGCTTTGTCGGAGGAGTCTGCGCCGTCCATCCTTCGATGCCCGTCGTTAACACCTTGCTGGGTCCACGAATGCGCCTTGACATCACCTACAATGCTACAATGAGCATGGGCAAAGGCATCAGCGAGCTGTCGGTGGCGGTGAAACTGCGGATGGGCCATCATCTTTTGACAGCCGGAAGTTGCCTCCCAGCGAGCAAAGTTCATGACGAAGTTCATGGATCAACGAAGCAGGGGTGCGTGGCATGAAGTGGCAAACACTGCGAACCTGTATGGAAGCTACGCGCCTGATCACATTGTGGCACAAAAGAACAACCGGCAACGCCAACAAAAATGCTTCGTGTTGTGGACACCGTCTGTATCAAAGGCATTTCCACAGCAGGGCCGGACAAAAAGTGCAACTTCTGCTATTGCGGGTTATTGAGTAGCTTAACCGTATGTTCAACATCACGAAAAGTCTCAGCTGCAGTAGCAGTAGCAGCGCAGCGGTAGCGGTAGCTGTGGCGGTAGTGGTAGCGGTGGCGGTGGCGGTGGCGGACGACTACTACTACCACTACTAGTTACTAGTACTACTACCAGTACCACTACTAGTACTACTGCTGCTACTGCTACATTACTACTACTACTACTACTACTACTATTACTACTACTACACCTACTACTAAGCTACTACACCTACTACTACACCTACTACTACTACTACTACTACTACTACTACTACTACACCTACTACTAAGCTACTACACCTACTACACCTACTACTACACCTCCTACTACTACTACTACTACTAATACTACTAATTCTACTAATAATAATACTACTACTACTACTACTGACAAGAAGAAGAATATAAACAACATTACAATGCATGGTAACAACGAAAACACCACTGGGGCGGCTGACGATGGCTACACTATAAACGTACTTTAGTCATACATGTGGCCGAAAGATGCCGAAGGAAACACCCTAAACCCTCAACCCTTCAACCGTTGAATCTGCAATCCCCGGCTCTGGCCTTCCCTCACGACTTGTTGGAGCCTCGCAGGCAGCTGTGCAAACCCTCTCGACTTGAGCTTTAAAGCTAAACCCTAAACTGTAGAAGCCCTAAACCCTAAACCGTAGAAGCCCCAACCCTCAAAACTCTTGTAATAAGCCCTGTGGCTTATGAAGCAGAACCCGTTTGGGATCCGAAAACCCTTGCGGTTCTAAGTTCTAATACTCTGACGCCCTCAGAACTTCCTGAAAAAAAGATGCCTCGCCGGGCCTTACCAGTACCAACCTTCCACTCACCCTAAACCCTAAAGCTCTAAACCTCTAAACCTCTAAACCTAAAACCCTAAACCCCTAAACCCCTAAACCCCTAATCCCCTAAACCCCTAAACCCTAAACCCCGAGACCCCTAAGCCCTAAACCCCGGAACCCTGAAGCCTAAACCCCGAACTCTGAACCCTGCNNCCCTAAGCCCTAAACCCCAAAACGACCACCGGCCTTGTAACCCATCCTCTACCTTCCGCGGCCCCAAGCCGAGGCCCCCAAGCCCGACTCATGCGAAACCGGAACCTTATTAAATACTATAAATATCACAAGTATTATGTAGTATAATTATTAATCCCTATTATTTCTAGTATTATTGTTGTTGTTACTATTTGTACTATTATTATTGGTATTAGTAGTATTATGACTGTTGCTATTGGAATTATTACTGAGCTGCCGGCCGCTGTGACCGCCGCTGAGGTTGGGGTCGGTAGGCCTCAACAGGACTGGGGAATGGAAGACCATGGCATTGCTTCCATGGCTGCTGCGATCCGGTTTAGGGTTTAGGGTTTAATGGTGAACCTGTGATTCACGTGGCTCTTATCATGATTCATCATCGCAAGTCATACAATCTCGTTCGGGCACACAAAACCTTGAGGGCCGCCTCAAACCCGAAGATCTAAAAATGTGAACCTTACACGCACCCCCGAGCCCAAAAATCCCCTAAAACCCCTGAAGACTATCCCCTAAACCCTAAACCC